TTGTCATTGCACTTTTCTGCTGTTCTGAATCAGGTCTTCAGAAAAAGAAAAGATTAGAAAGGCACAGTAATTTTTTGCATTAATTAGCTTTCAAGCTTTTAACACAGGACTGAAAGTACAGTTTGTACTAAGAACTGAAGGATCATCAGACTTTCATGTTTCCCATCATAGTTAATACATAGCTAATAATTACAAGGCACCTGATTTTTAGCTAACATCAATTGAAAAGGAATGAGAGTTGGAGAGCGCGTTCACTTCCAAGAAAAACTGAGTATCTTGAAGAGAGGTTTTATGAAAATTGAGGGAAAATCTTGAAGAAATGCATTTATTCTGCTAATTAAACAGGTGCATGAAGCATTACTGAATTTTTAACTTTGCACACATAGAAACTGAAATTCAGAGGCTGCAATTTTAACTGCTGTCTTAAATGCTTACAAATAATTGCATTCAAAGAATGATTACTGTTTTTTGTTTAATTAAAAAATAGTTGTGATTCCGTAATTAATCCTGAAACCTTTGTATTTGATTAAAAACTCATTTAGCGGCTTTTTTATTTTTCCTAAATCTCCTTTATTCCTCCAAACTTCAAGGATGGAGATGTCTGTTTTCATTTACAAAGGCAGACAGTTTCTGCAGATAGGCTGGTTTACTTATAGCTTGCAAAGTGTTTCAGACTCTTGCTGAAAGTCTCACTCACTGGTTTTATAGATTTATTATTCCCGTTCAACTGTTTAATCTTTGCTTCTTTTTCTCACAGACAAAAACAACAAAGAAAAAGTAATAGCTGGCATCTCTGCAGGACCATTTTGGGATCTGTATTAATTGGCCTGGTTGGATATTTTATATGTGCTACAAAGAGGCCTGAGTCATTTTCCCCCAGAAAATTCCTATTTCCCACAGAAAACTTCCTATGCTGACACAAGGAGTGACCCAGGTAAGGAACAGCACAAGCGTTTGCCGCGGGAGCTATACACAGACATGAACGGAGACGGGGCAATCCGAACCAGTGTCATGAGCTATTTATTCAGCACATCAGTCTCAGTACATTGTTAGGACAATGGAGACAGATTATGTTAACAGCTCTCTGATCCAAAGGGAATGCAAAGGGGGTGTTACATTACATCATAGCATAAAGCTACCTTAGCCTAGGTTTCAGCCAATCACACATAGAGCAAAACATACTGACAAAAAAATCTATCCAATCATATGAAACACATGTAACAGTAGTTAACACTTATAAAGACCTATTTTCTAACACAATGGCTCGTTCATGAGAGACAAAGCACAGAGACTCATTCATACTAACCTTCTAAAGGTATACATTAAATTACCTTGTTGCAACCTATGAAGGCACATTACAAAAGTCTATTGTGCTATTTCTCACGTCTGCTCTACTGCTTAGAAAACTTTTCGCTGTATTAGCAATGTTCACAAGTCTGCTGTCTGAAGCCTGCCTTTTTAACCACTTTCTCAAAACCCTCTAATTTTATGAATCCCAACAGTGTTTTGCATAAGTGTTGCTTATTTCTGCACAGGGCTGCTTAAATTGTCTTGTCTTACTGAATTATTAGGATATAATTGACTCCAGCCAAACTAGCTTTCAACTGACATTAATTTATTATTTAAAAATTTTAGCTTAACTAATATGTCTCTTAACTCTGTATCTCGTCCTTACAAGTTCTTTCTTTAAGCTCTGAAACATAAGGAAAATAGTATCTAGTATCAGTGAACATGTTCAAAGAATTGTGGGCAAATTTAAAACTATAGCTCAAAAAGCTCTCCCAAACCAAAGAAAATCTAAACTCTTTAGTCATCCAATGTCAGTTACAAAATTAGGGATGAAGCTACATCTGTTTTCAGAAGTAAAACTATTTTTAAGAGGTTTAAAAAGATGACAGCTTTTGTCTTCTCTGTGAGTATGTAAAAATGAGTACTGAAGTGCAATCACAGTCCAAACATCTGTATCATGTTTCTGGTCCTTATTTTTAAATATTTAAACAATTACTGAGAGGCCAAACACACCTTTTTTCTCACAGAAAATAAAATCAAAATAAATTTTGGCAATATGCCCTTTCCAGCTTAAAAGCAAGAGCTGAAAGCTGCCAGAACATCAGATTAGGAAGCAGCTTTGAAAGCTGACCACCCATGGGAGTGCTGAATGGGTGTTGCTAGAAGGACATGAGTTATCTTCAAAAATAATGAATCAAGGCATTCATCTCTTTGTCTCCCCTATGTCAGAAAGCAGTTAACTGGACTTACATGTGATACATGTGAGGAACTGCTGAATTAAACTATGAGGTATCCAGCAGATAGTGATTCAAATCTTTCAAGCCATATATAAAAAAAAAATTATGTTATTCCCTCAGTTCTTCAGTAAGACAACTCCCTTGAACCATATGAGAAGAGTCAGAGCTGCCTCATAGCAGACAAGACAGAGGAAGACAAATGCAGGGTGCCCATCTGATGGCATTCCAACTGCTGACATCACACCATCCCACCCCTCATTGCAATGCTTGCTTCAGATTATATTCCTGCCTGTTATCTACATCCCTTTCATTTTTTCCAGAACATGCTGGCCATTGTTACCTTACAGCCATTACTGAAGTGAAACTATTCCATCCTAATATAATTTCTATCTGAAAAATGACTCAGGTCATTATTTTCCCAGATTTACATCTGTACCTTCTTCAGTGAATGTGCCAAGATTGATTAGGTTTACTTGGAATATTTAATTTGGATTACTTGAGGTTTGCTGGGGAGAATGGAATTACTAAGTAAAATGAGCTACATCTAACCTTTGACTAGATGACACTGATTTACTATCACTATCAATGGGAAAAAAGACGACAAGCTTCTATTCCTCTGTCAGATAGATCTGTTGTCTGAATTGCAGGCTAGATCTGTAGAAATAATTTAAAGCATATCAGTACAGATTAGATAGAAGAAATACTTAACAAGAGAGGAAAGGATATATATATCCTATACCTACATACATAGGTATCCCAAAAAGCATGGTCCAGTTCTGCCCAGCGAAAGAGTAAAATTATTGGCAACATAAAGCAAATAATTGCATAGCTGATCTGCTTGCAATTACCAGACGTGTCTAAATAGAAAGAAAGGATATGTAAAAGAAGCAATTGTAAAGGCACAGAATAAACAAAATAAAGTGCAGAGAAAACTACCCATGAGGGATATGTCCTGGTTATTATGCTCTGCTAAAACACTTTAATTAGTGTGGAGACTGTGGATCACACTGATGGAATGGAATTATCTCACTGTCTGTGAATGATGCCATGAGGTTTTATTCAGTATGTGAGTAAATTACATGCACATACACCCCAGAGAGAAACTATGTCAGTCAAACTGAATAAGAGCAAAACAGGTATTTATTTTAAATATCAAAGATTTCAGCCCATATATGCATTTTTGCCTTTTTTTTTGAGTTCAGTCATAAAAACAGCATTATGTCCCATCAGTGCCAGGACCTGATTTCTAACATGCAGCATGTTTGGTAGTACATAGTATGCAGCATGTTTGGTAGCAGACTGAAAATCTGAGACAGATTCACCTATATTACACGAGAATATCAGTCTGATGCTTGAAATGAAGAAATATGTAATGGTCAGCTTTCACATTCCTTAGCCCATATAATACCATCTTCCCTGTGGTAAAGCAGTGTCATACAAGCAAATTCCTCGTCACACTTGAATCTTGGCCTCAGATGAAAATGGAAGGAGCTCTCTTGAAGGAGAACTTACAGATGAAGAGATGCTAAGAAGCTATCTCTGTTGTCTGCACTGCTAACTATATAATTAAATGCACTGTATTTTAGGAATTTTACCAAGTAATAATTAATAATTGGAAGACAGTAATAGCAAATAGTAAATGAAGAAGCATGAGTGAGGAAATTAATCAAAGTGTGCCCGTTAGTTGTAGCATGTTAACTTTTAACAACCCAATCATAATTTTTGCACGTATGAGGATGTGCTTCTGTTCTCCATGTAACTATTTGATGTTTTGCTGTTGTTTGTACATTGTTACTTGCTTTTACCATGCCAGCCTCCAAAATCTGCGACATTTGTTCTTATTTTAAGTTAGAGTCATTAATACTTATTCATACACATTACATAAATAAAGATGTTGTGTACCATTTCATTCAAAACTGTGAAACTCTGGCTTGAATGCAGACAGCTCTGTGTATGTGAACTAGGGCTATTTTCTCAGTGTTTATACAGACAAACATGTTTATTGGTAGAACCAATTATCTCTGGTTCTGTCTTCTTCCCTATTTCCCAGCAGCAAAATCCTCTTAGCTGCAGTGAAAACTAATTCTACTGAGGATTTAATGCTGGGCCCGTTAAATCTGTCTTTTGAGGCACTATTACACTGAGAGTCAGGACTGTTTTTGTAACTCCTGCTCAGCAGTGTCCTCTGTGGATGCACCCCTGCTTGGCTTTGTGCTGCACAACACAATGTGTGCAATGGCAGTGGGAACAAAACAAGAGATTCAGACTGAGAATTTCAATGGAAACACCTTAACTGCAGTAAGCACTTAACCTCACACATTTCCTATACCTTCCTCTAATTAGTTTCCATAAAACCATTCTCATTTATTCTGTAAGAATCCTCTACAAGATGTGTTTTTGATATTGGTGCAAGATCAGTAACACAACCCACATGTTTTCCTCTAAAAGGACTTTGTCCTAAATAATATAAAATTCAGGCTTAAAGACATTTAAGACCCTAAAGAAAATCATTACATTAGGCGTTTATATACATACATTTGCATAAAAGGTGTTAGCCATTACTAGCATGGAAATCTAAGTTAATGAAAATGAAAAAAATTTGTTTATGGCGCAAAATAATAATCCTTCTTTAACTTTTATCCAGAGCTATAATCTCCTTTGTCAAGTAATCATACAAAAAGGTCAGGTGAACAAAAAAAAAAAAAAAAAAAAAAACCAAAACCCAAAAACAAACCAGGAAAAAAATGTACTTACCCCAAATTGCCATGAAAATTGCAAAGAAGACAGTCCCTCCGTTATCAAACAAATGTGTAACCTGAATAAAAAAATGAACACATCAGGAAAAAATAATCGTGCCATCTCATCTTTTGCCCCAAATAGTCCCAGAGTACATAACTGGCATCAGAAACCAAAAGCTAAGCTTTCTCATAACTAGTTCTACTAGCATGTTTCTTCTACCAAGGTTTGTCAATGTCACACTCTGACTGCCAGTGTAATTTGAAATCTGCTGTTCCAGACTATTACTTCACGCACCACCCGTCATTTTGTTTCACAGACACTGAGCTGTTTTGTCCATGTCCAGACAGACTAAAATTTCATCCAGAATTCTTGTCATATGGTAGGTCAAATGTAATCTCAACCATTTCTATTTTAAGGTTTTTATGAGCTAAAAAACCTCTTCACTTTTCTCCATCTGCATACTTACTGTCTCTTGATTCCATTTTGTTCTTCTACCTAGGTATTTTGCAATTCCTGGTGTGATTATTTAAGTTTGAAGAATAGATTCTTGCAGCAAAATATTTAATTGTATAAAATCCTCACATTAGTTTGACAGACCAAAGCAGGAACAAAAATTCAAATAGAAAGTAAGCAAAGGAAACAGAGTAACAAGATAGTTACAGAGAAGAGTAAGAAAAATCTTACAAAAAGTTTAATTATTAAGTCCTCACAGAGGAATTAATAAGTTGATGAAAATAATATTAATTTATTTATAAGGAAATTCTCACAGAAAGGAATTTTAGAAAAACCCCAGATCACTTTAGAGCACTCCCTCATTAGAAAGATGCATTGCAAAGGCTGAAAACATCATCTGTAGAGAAACAACATGATTTTTAGGAAACTTGGCAGAAACAAGGGCAGCTATTTTACAACCACAATCATCCTGATTGCAATAACACAATAATTACCTTGGCATATATGCAGCTTTCGTTGAGTTTTTGTAGTGTGCAATTGCGTTCACACATAGGGCACATAACGGTTTCATTTGCCTCGCAGATCTCTTTGCTTTAGTATGAGTGAGGAAAATAAAGGTTATAAAAACACTTCTAGCATTCACAAGGTTTTCTGAGTTATGCCATTTATATTCTCTGTTTGTCAACAGTGTGTGCACCACAAAGCTGAGCAAATAAAATAAATTAAAAGTGAATATTTGGCTTGGAAAGTCTAATCCCAAATCAGGAACCCGAACACTATGGGCCGTAGAGTAGCATACAATATTTCTAGGTATCATGTTACACTTCTCACACCAGCAAATTCTCTCCCAAATATCTCAAACAGAAAAACAAAAAATTGCTCAATATCCTTCAAATGCATTTACAGCCTATTTTTCTAAGTTATTATAAGATACCAAACATTCAGAGGATAGACAACACTGGTACATCTACATTGATCTCAGTCAAATGGCATCATTTGTATGTAATTGAGCAAAGAAGAAAGACACTATGACAAGAGGCAAAAGTCAGTATGAAAGGGGGATATTTGCTCCCTTTTGGTGGTACCCTTCCTTCTTCATTTCCAACTTGCCTATGGCAGCCAGAGAGAGGAGCTACAGAGAGAATCTTCTTATACACAGAGGGCAGAGACTCATGGCCCTGTGCTGAGCTGAGATGGGCTCCTGACATAGGCTGATACATATATATATATCTTACATGTAGTATATATTTATATAATGTTTTTATACGTGTGTGTGTATATATATATATATATATATATATATATATAGCCAACTGCTAGCAGACCCTGAGCATGGAGCAGAGGCAGGCACTTGGACAAGTCATAAGACAAACTAATTCTTAGATGTGACATCATTCTGCATCATCCTCAAATTACTGCTGCACAAAACCTATGGCTGGCATGGTTTGGTTCTATGGCAGTACATACTCCTGTATTTGCTTATTACTTCTCTATTGAAACTGTGCTGGATATCTGGGAAAAAAAAAAATTATATTTTCCTGCCTGCAGCCACTAGAGGTGGGCTGATGGCAGCTTCCTGCACCTGAAGGGTGAAGGCACATCAGTGAAGAAAGTATCCTTCTGCAAAACTGATTTGATCATCTCTTAAATTCAAATTTTGTAGTACATAAGACAGACAAAAAGTAGGGCTTTGTGATGGAATTTATCATACTTAAATCAACACATTCTAACAGCCATGGATTTCTCTTAACAGGCATAATAAACCTGTTTCACACGAAACAGTGATCAGCAGAAAATATTGAATCTGGGGCAACACGCCAGTTCTGACATTGCCATAATGCCCCAAAATTGTGTTTCAATTTCTAATTTCCACTGGGTTTCCTGTGTTTACATTTTTTTAAGATAGCATATCCAGTTCTGTTTCTGCCAGATTGCTGTTGAACACTGCATTTGTGTATGGTGGTAGTTGAAGTGCTTAAAATCAAATGATAGATTTTAATACTCTTACAGATGCTTATCTAGAATTTTCTTTAGAAGAATGCAGAAACACCAGATAAATAATCTCTCAGTTCCAGACTACAGCAAGAATAAGAACAGGTGTGCAAGTCCATCTACCTGCTAATGGATGACACCTGTCTGTTCTAGGTACAAAGTTCCTGTCTAATCCTTACTTACACCTTCCAGGCTAAGTAAAAAAAAATCTGGCAAGGACATGGCAACAATATCTGTTATCAGTGGCCTTTAGAAATGCGTAAGTACACAAGGTGATACAGAAAACGTCTACATACATTTTATCAGCCAGGCATAATCAACGTGAGTCACACATTTCACAGCTGCTCTTACTAACAAAGTTGTAGCAATGCACTGACAGGACAGTGCTGTGCCATGACTGACCAGAAGGACTGCACACATTCACACAACCAAAGGCAGATAGCACCTTCTCCACAGAATTAACACATCCAGATTATAGATGTGGGGTTGCCACAGAGCACCTGGTTAGGACTTCTGCCATAACCCATCCTCTGACAGCATTGTGAAATTAACACTGGCTAATGATAACTATAATAAATAAATTAATATTCACCTTCCCGTGCAGGCATACAGAGCTTATATGAGGGTTTACCTAACTTTGAGTCTCTTGTTTTTCACACAGAGCACAGAGGCCTGGGGCACACTGGCACTCTGTGTAGCACAGCACAACACTGAGGTACCTCAGGATGAGACCCTATAGAACCAGCCCCACAGGAACACACTCAAATGTTCTTTGTCTGTGTTTTCTCTGCAGCTACTAAACAGCAGCCAAAGGAAAAAACTGAGGGCAGAAATCCTCAAAAGCCAGCCTACCTCTGTGCTCATTTACAACACCCTGCAACCTTCAGCAAGGAAGATAGCTGCATTTTTCTGTTAAAAATTAGTCATACCTGCAAGTCTTCCTGGGAGAAGCATATGACACACAGGAGGTGATTGCCTGTTCTATTCTGTGCTGGCGCAGCCTCACCTTGAAAATGGTGTGCAGCTTTGGGAGCCACATTACAACAAAGATAGAAAGCTCTTAAGACAGTCTCCAAAAGAGGGCCACAAAGATGGTGAAAGGCCTAGAGGGGAAGCCATATGAGGAGCAGCTGAAATCATTTGGCTCGTTCAGCCTGGTAAATAGGACACTGAGGGGAGATCTCACAGCAGTCTAACAGCTGGAATCTAACAGCTTCCTCTCCTTCTGGTGACCAGTGACAGGACCAGAGCAAACACATGAAGCTGTGTCAAAGGAGCTGTAGGTTAGATGTTAGAAAAAGGTTTTTCAATCACAGGGCAGCTGGGAACTGGAACAGACTCCCCTGGAAAGTGGTCACAGTACCAAGATTGACAGAGTTCAAAAAAGAATGTGAACAATGATCTCAGGCACATGGTGGGATTGTTGGGGCAGTCCTATGCAGCCCCAGGAGATGAACTTCAATGATCCTTGTGAATCCCTTCAAATCCAGGATATTCTATGATTCTATGGTATAAAAACACGTAATAGCTTACAGTTTGAAAGAATGAAATTATTAGAAATTTTGTTCTTTCTCTCGGGGAGTTGCCAATGACACACCTTTCTCTTCCACAAGGAAGAAATACTAAGCTATACCTTGATAGTAGTAGATTATGGCCCCTTGTTCCCTCTTTGTTGGAACTATGTCATTGTACATGTGACAAATACAAGATTGACAGTTCAACAGCTGTGGTCCCTGTGCTCAAAGAATAGGCTGATCCTCGACTTTACAACCACTGCATTTTGAAGGCATTTATGATGAAAAACAATCATAATACAGTATCTTAAAGATAGCATAATTTCCTGGCTGTTAAGTTCATTGCATTTAACTGTATTTGATGTGGTTTGAATTAGTACAGTTTCTAAGGAGTTTGCTGTACAAAGCAAGCTTAAAAAAAAGTGTTCATTACAGCACTGTAGAATATAATAACTCACTGTGAAACAGAAGTTAAAGAAAACTCCTTAGATAAAACTTGAATATGGTCTTGCTCAAAGCCAGAGAAACAGTATTTTTTATGAAATCTGACTCCAAGTATACATACAGCCTAAGCACCCAAACTGCTTGGAGCAACAGCTACAATTGTAAGAACAGATACTTATACTGTCTGATAACAGCTAATGGAATACTTTGCAGTACAGTGGATCCTCAGAGAGTCCCCAGAAGTACAGTCAGCACTTGAGCACCCTCATCACAATATCGAAACTGACACAGAACCCTTCCCAGAGCAAAATCACAAAAGTGAGAAACTTGAAACTTGGTTCATTTTATTGCAAGTGGTTGCAATCTCCCTGAAGCTGAGTCTCCTGGCTGCAAGTTACATTGATACAGATAAGAATTTTGTTAGAGTCCAAGTTTGCCACTATTAATGAAGAAGAGAAAAAAGACATAGGTCAAATTTGAAGTTTAGTAACTGTACTACACTCTGGAAGTTATAGGAAGATGGAGGTAATGAGGGAATATGGCTGGTTTTTCACCCATTAGCCTTAATTAGATCAACAACTACTGCAGTATCAGCAACATGAGCATTGGTTCTTACAGACTGGTCTGTTTTTCCTTAGTGGGAATCACTGCAATGCAGTGATAAGGATGGCCACTGCCAGCAGTACACATTTTACTTGATGCAAAACAAATGTACTAAGTGCAAATACTTGACTCAAAGCCCCAGTATTCTATTTTGGTTATTCTTACATTATTACCATATCTGCAAAACATTTAAAAGTACAGCAATCTAAGTTGTGCCAGACTGTTCTTAATTAGCAATAGGCTGTTACATATTATTAAATAGAATTTTACCTTACTTGGCTGGAATCCATTGTAAATAATCCATAGAGGAAAACAAAGAGCCCAACCAGGGCGGCAGGAATAAGCATTCCAGTATACCATCCCAGCCAGGCAAAATACAGTCCAATTTTTTCACCAAAGTATCGCCTACATGAAAAGGAAACACATATATTTGTTTAAAACTAAATTTTCTCATGACTTCTCTCTATCTCTACTGTCACAGTAGCAGAATAATTCTAACAAGGAACTATCATTACAAGTTTCTGGTAAAATCGTCACTTTGCCAAACAGTTTTTTTTCAGGCTAGCATAATATTTTAGTGACACTAACTGCAGATTTATGAGAACAAGATAACTGCAGTGCCCCTGTAATTGCCATGTTCTTGCAATGACTAAGTAGATGGACAAGTAGCAACATTATTAAACATAGGATAGACAGACAAATGGATGTACACAGATAGAAAAAATCTGGAAAAGGATAAGGTAAGTTAGTATGACTTAAGTATTCAATTTAAAATCATTTATGATAGATAATTATACATAGATAATATCACATATTTCCAACTATATTAGTGAAAACAATGCTCTGAAAACACAAGCTGAAGACAACTTCAGTTCTTCAAAACTTGCGTATCAATTGCCAGAACACATGAAATAGCAGTGATCAGAAAGTTAATCAAGGACGAAACAGCATAAAATTGCCCCGTGGCACATGCTTAGCTCCACCAATAACCAGTTATGACTCAGATCAGGAATAAAAACTTAAAGCAAGGAAAATGAATTACTGGTATGCAATGTCAGAGGGGGAAACTGTGAAACTCAAACATCATCATTATTTAACTTAAATTATATGTATTTCTCTATTTTACATTTGGTAACCTATGACACTAAGTCTAATACGTAAAATAAGAGTTATTTAAATCCACATGGAAAAGTTAAAATTCAGTTGCATTTTAAGTCCTCTGCATCTGGTAACTCTGACTGTCCATGTGGATAAGAGTCCGCTTTCAAAGGTGCTCTCACAAGGGGCAAGTGTCTCTGATCAGCAGACCACATTATGGGTTTGTATTTTAAGTTTCACACTGCACATCTTGAGCAGTTGGAACTACATGTTCTTTAAGAAGACTCATTTGAAATTAACCTACAAAAGACCATCCAAAATAAGCAACTTCAAGAACTCCAGCCTTACCCAATAATAGGGAATATATAAATGTTATAGGAAAGCACAAGGAATTTATGAATATAGTTAGCACACTGTTGCCAGGCTTTTTGTACCAGAGAAAATCTTCAAAGTACTCATACCTGATTAAATCAAGAGGTTGGTATTTGTACCACATTCCCCACCGTGCCCAGCGCTCATACAAGAGGTGTCTGTGATTCTGTGCTCCGTGTGTTTTGATGGGATGCCTGCTTTTGTGGCTTCCCTGCAAAAAAACCACAAAGATATGTAAGTACATTACCAGGCACTATGGAAAATGTATACGTTTCTTAGGTATTTCTGATTATAATTTTAATAGAAATGTTCCTTATATTTAATAAATAGGTCTCTTATTCTGGGCACATCTGGAACATGTTATCAGGAGCTAAGTAAGGCAAGTCTGACATAGGAGGCAGGGTTACATACACTTCTGAAATGGTCAGTTTCTCTAATAGTTAATGACTGAAACATATTAATACAACTTTAAAGAAGTACTCAGCTCTGTTTTTATTTCACTAATAGATCCTACTTGTATGCTTTACCTATTTAAATTTTGCAAGAAATACTTGTAGTATATTTTTATTTCTTCTATAATTTTTTTTAACATTTCTAGTATGTCTGCTTTCTTCTCCCAGACATTTTTTATCACTTTCTTTCACTACTGTTGAAGGTATAGAAAAGTATATTCTTTCTGTGATGAAGGATCACAGATGAAAAGTATATGCTTTCTAAGATGAAGGAAACAGAATTGGCATTATTTTGAAGCTACATAGGACTCTCAAGGCATTAAAAGCAAAACAGAGGCAGTCTGATCCAAAAGGAGTCCTTCCAGGCCATGTCTGACATTTGTAGACCACCTAAGAGACTAAAAGAATAGCCTCATGCTTGGCAGTCAAAAGGTATCACACAGATCTGCTAGAATCATCCTGAGCAGAATGTCTTGCATTTGTAATTTTGCTCCAATTCTGAAGCAGGACATATACCTTACTTGAACTTAATCCCCAAAAAGCTTCCATCACTCAGCAGTGGAAAAGTAAATATTTCATCAACTGTTGACTGCAAGTGAGCCAAGTAATTCTCTTGTGAGGAGAGCAGAGTTCTCCAGCACCCAACTCAGTTAGTGATCAGGTAGATTCTTGACCCTGTCAGATGCAGGTCACTAAGCAATTTAGATTTTATCAGGTATTTGAAATCTTGAGCACTCCTCAAAGTTCAAAGAACATCATCAACTTGTTGCAATCTGCTGACCCTCTGACTTAAGAATGAGTTAAAACCAAAGCTAAACACAGCAAAAAGTCCAAGTCTACTCCTTTCTCTTTAGTGTCAGGACAGCAGCATACCAAAGATGCCAACACTGAGTGCGACCTTTGCAGAATTTAGGAACACCCAGGAAGAGCACATCAACTTATTCTCACGGCAGGCTGGATAAATAACAGCAAAGTATTACCCAGAATTACATGTTTTCATTTTTTTTCCTGATTCTTTCTGCACTGTTATACCTAAAAGAGTTAAACAGCATTCCCACTGGGATTGAATTTTCACTCTTATTTGTACATGTGGAAAAGGGAAAAAAATAAATTGAGTGTTCCACCAGTAGTCCTTAGCATCAGTCAAGAAGCAATTAAGGTAAGAGTGGCTTTAAACTATGATTTCACTAATTTTAACTGAGATGTGGAAACAGTAGCTTATGCCATAACAAAGGAACATGTAAAATGGATATGACAGCACAGCTTTGATGCCAGAGAAAGCTTCACAGGTTTTTATGGTAGTACAGGCAGCTTTTTCCCTGAAGTCAGTAAAGCACAGCTGAAGCATTAACAATGATGTTACATTATTTATCTAAAATACTCCTTCTCTGACTTCCTAGTAATTAATTATTAAAACTGAAGTATTTAATAATTAAAAAAATACTCTCAGCCATTTGTAAAGCCTTTGAAATATGAAACCAAGTCACAATATTCAGCTGAAACACCCAGAGTTCAGAGCCGCAACCACCATGTTCCTGAGTGTGGAATTTGCAGACAACCCCAACAAGGGAAGAGATGAGTATCTTGACTCCATGTTTCAGAAGGCTTTATTATTATATTATAGATATTAAAAGAAAATCATATATTAAAACGATACTAAAGAAAGAGAGAGGAGACCTCAGAAGGTTATCAAGGCAGGAATGAATAATAAAACCTTGTGATTGCTCACAGCCTTATCAAAGCTGACTGCCATTGATCATCAAGTAAAAACAATTCACATGCTGGGTAAACAATTCTCCAAATCACATTCCAAAGTAGCAAAACATGGAGAAGCTGTAGCTTCCCAGCTTCTCAGGAGAAAAGATCCTAGCGAAAGGATTTTTCAGAAAATATGTCTGTGACACCTGAGAGCATTTCAAGGACTGAAATGTGTGGTTTGCTTCTTCTTTTGAACATAAGAGAGTTTTCTCAAAACCCTCTTCAGTCAAACACAGGTTTTTAGTTCATTTTGTGGGTTTCCAGTCTTCAGTAGAGTTTTGAACTAGTGGAAAAAGCATTGTCAAGTGTAGCAGTGTGGGGTTTAGATGGTGGTTGGTGCTACCTCTATCTCATTGCCCAGTGAACATCTCCTGTGGAAAAGCTGCTTGGGGCGCATTCAGGCAAGGCAGCCAAGTCCACAACCCACACTCACCACAGCTGGCCCAGCCAAGAGAGGCAGGAGGGCCTTCTGTAGGGTCAGTTCCAGCAAGGTTCATTTTAGCACACCGAAGAGGAACCAGGGACAAAAGACCAACCAGGTGCTCCGCACAAGGCTATTATGGGGGGGCCTATGGGGGTGCTACCAAGGGAAGAAGGGGCTGGTCACAGCGGTATCCCAGCCACAGAGGAAACAGGGAAAGGAGAAACCAGGGGAAGTTGGGACAAATGGGGATGGGAACTGAGATGGATCAGTGTTGTGCAAGACCCAATGGGGAAGTCTTTTCCCTCTGTCCAGGTCCAGACTCTATGGTAAGTCTCTCCAGGGGAGAGCCCTGGAGATTTCCTTGAGAGGGAAAGATCTTGAGAATTCCACAACTCCTCTGGTTTTTTCTTACTATGAAGACTTCCCCAATGGACATCTGCAGACACTTCACAGGGAAACACGAGTAAAACAATAAAAACCAAATCCAACTCCTTCAACAGCCTGAATAGTCTTTTTGAGAACCATCTCTAAAGAACAGTCTCAGTGTGTATTAGAAATTACCCAGAAGTATTCTGAAAATAGTAAACAGGAAATAATTACGCAGTCTCCCTAACTGTGATCAAGTGGCCAAGCTATTAGAAAAACAAATCCTTTTGTAGGTGGCAAGTAAAAATAATTTAATACAACTAATTGGAACAATTTGGAACAACTGACACTCGCCTTAAGAACTCAACAGGAAATGTAGAGTTCATAAAAACCAGAAAATAATTATAATATCCTAGTCAAACCAGAAAATGTTCCAGGATGTTATTATAATATCCAAATTATCCAAAATTTGGAAAATTTTAAAAGCCAATATCAAAGTAAAAGCTATAAATAAAAGAAGCATCGACAAATTACAATATGAAATGAAAAGTTTGCAGGACAGAATTAAAGTAAGATCCCAAACCACTAGTGGAAGCTTTAATCTAAATATGAAACTAAAAATCAAATTAACCAGGTTACCTCATGTGGTGGAAATGCTGCTTCATATGTGCCATTATTTAGTAACCTATTAATACCTAAAAAAAACAAAAAGCATTAGCTCTGATATCAATTTTTCATACACATTTTTCAAGTCACATTTGGAGAATGTAATTTAGTGTTAAATGATAAGAATGCTGCTGAAGATGACAATCAATAACCCCACCAACTACTTCAGCAGGTACTGCTGATGCTTTCAGATTTCTGGCTCTGTCAAACTAAAGAGCAACTTGCCAAAGCACCAAAGCCTGAAAACTTTCCCTCAGGGCTGAGTGCTTGTACCAAATTCATTGTGAGAAAACAGTTACATTCACACTGTATTCCTCAGGGCATATAATTCAGATTTTATGGGTGACCAGATGATCTGATAGAGCGGTATGGATAGACAATCCTTGAGGCAGTGAAACTCCTGCAGGATTAAAAGCTATTAGGTATCTATTTAGCTACCAGCTAACCCCTGGTATTTTTAAATATAAACCAGCTGAAAATTTCATATCAGAGCAGTGCTCTGTACCAGACTGACTACTGCATTTTGGATCAGTTTCTAGAGTCTTCCTAAGCCCAGATTTGCTGTACTAGCACAGCACATTACAAAACCTGAAAAAAATAAATAACCATTGATAGGTACAACAAAAAGATTCAATAGCCTTTAAGAGCAAATCTGTAGCCAAAAGTTTCCCCAAGAAACAGGTACATATGGTGGAACACAGATTGGTCTCTTAAAATATACAAATTATACTAAACTAATAATGAAATTTCCCATCATCAACTTCAAAGGTGCTAGATATGAACATTTATTCTTCCTGTTTTTCTTACTACCCTTACTACCACTTCTGTTCAGAAACTCAAGAAACAGTTTTCTGTAACTGGAATCACCCAAGCCTCTGCATATTAAATCTTTAATTGAATTCCTGCAGAAAATATAGAAAATCATGAATACATTCCCTGGTCATTGAAAATGACAATGGGTAGTTTGACCTTCTAAAAACTAACACTGTATTATGAGTGTTGATATGAAGCAAATTCATTCTTAGATCAGCTGTCTCTGAGCTACACAGACATCTCAAATAAATCAAGTGTGGCACACATTGATTCTACTGGACTGAAACTGATGGACAATAGCTGAAGTACTAGGATCAGTCCTTGAAAATATTTTCAGCTTTCTGAGGTAGATGTAACCCTTACTGTGGCCCTCAATAATGTAAAATTACAATAATCTCTCCATTTTATTTTAATGAATGCGTAATTAAGTGAAAAATATTGCAAATTTTCACTGAAATATCTAGGTAGAAAATGATCAGACATTGTTTCAATTCTGTTACTGTGTGAAAGACAAGATTTCAAGAATAGGAAAAAAATTGAGTTTATTCAAATGGTATTTTTCCAGACAATTAAAGATGAACAATTTTATAGCTTTGGGTTAGGTAAAAAATGTAGCATACTCACCCATTTTGGATTTTCCATCTTCATACTTAGTTCTCTGTAGCACATGATGCACAATTCTACTTCTTGTGGAATTGCTGAAGAAGCTGTCTTTGTTGTTTATCGTGAAACTATTAAAATAATGAATGTCTTAATATTCATAACAATGCACACACATTGAAACATAGCTGTTCAAGTGGTTTTGTTTTTTTTTTTTTTTTACAATGATTTAGTGGAGGTTTACATTCCTTAAACATAAGGTTATACACTGTTACAGCAGGTCCAATGAAGTTATCCTTATCACAAATTAAACCAAAAATATCCTACTATCTAGTTAATTCCTGTTCTGGATATAATTAATTAAATAAAGATCTTCAGTAATAGTGGTAGCCTTAAATTCAAATTACTTATGAGTTGACAGTTGTCTGTGCACTGGAACCACCAAAATTACTATTAAAAAAAACCCAAATCCACACACTGGAGACTTGCGAAGCAACTCCACAACCATTTTCCCTTAGAGGATCCCAGGATGGAGCCAAGTAAAGCAGCTTTGGCCAGATGGCTCGATTCTGGATGCGGGAAATCTGATATGCAGGAGCTTCTTCCTGCTCAGCTGTGCCAAAAGTTGCTACTACAATTCATTACATCAGCTGAGCTGATTGAGAAAAAAACACCAGAACCAGGGAATTGATCCAGTGCAGTATGGTAAATTACTGGGGGAAAAAAATTTGAGTCTATAATGAAATTACTCTGTTTTTCTGGGGTAAAGTCAGTTCACTACCATTTAGGTTCTTTACTGAGTGGAAAAATCCGGTTTATCCTAATTCATACTTCTATTTTAAATTAACTTTTATCTTCTAAAACAGTTATCACAAAATAACTTTAAAATTAAGAAACAGAATTTTAAAACCTAACTTTATAGGTACTGAAAAAAATTTATCTCACATTTTAAATATAGCATTATCAACATGCTGATTTGAACACATATAGTTTCGTTGTATATATATTTGTATTTTCAGAGGCAATAGATCTTTTTAAATGCAGATCTGGTAAGAAAGAAAAAGAAAATTATCGCTCGTCTTAGCTTGCTTCTGGTGTTCCAAATCTCAACTGGTTTTTGCCTACGTAAAGTAAGTAATAAGCAGAGAAAACTTGAGCAAGTATTTGCATTTTGTAATGTAAGGGAACAAAAAACCAAACATCTTCTAAACAAAAATGGAAACATTCATCTTTCCATCAAATTTCAGATTATGTTAGTGAGTGATCATCAAATAGCAAGTAACAAAGAGCAGATTATCACTTGAAGAGAATAAAATCAAATATGATACTTGGTGCTTCCAGTGACCATCTGTCAGCAGCTCCCTCTCTGGCCCTTGCTCAGAAGTGAGGAACAGAAACCCTTGTGGTGCGTGGCGCTGCCTGCCCACCCCAGCACTCACTGGTGGATGCGCGCGCGGCTGAAGGGGGCTGTGTAGCAATCTGTCTCCTCCAGATCAGGGAGGGCCTCCTTATCCAGCTTCATGGGATTTCTGGGCAACCAGCTTTTCAGCTCTCTAATGTTCCTCTGCAAACTGAGACAAGAAGAAGTCAGATTCACACGCTCTCACTTCCTCGTCATTTCTATCACTGGCACTGCATATTTATTGACATCGTACTAGAAATGAAATTAAATGAAAGCAGGAAACTTCCACATTAAGTAAACAAAAGAAAAGACAGAGTCAAAAAGCAAAATGAAAAATACTCGTTTGCAATCCATCTTGAACACTTTACTTGAGTAAAACTCATCCTAAAATTAGGTGAGCTTACAGCTCAAAATGGGACCGTGGCATTGTCTGCAGACATTAATTTTCCAAAGTAGTTCATCTGGCAGAACTGTAGGTGCTTATGCTTTAGCCAAGAACATACCTAGCTGCACTGAACAAAGCAAGTGAAACTCCTCCCCACTCTCTTGCCTGGCAACGTGGACACTAAAATTAATAAGTTTTTTAAGTATATTTGAGAGTGCTAAGGATCCGATTATGGTTTTCTGATTGCAATAAATTTTTCCCCTGCAAAATTTTCTTAAAAATCCAAGAACTGATATTGCCTTATGAAATATACAACAGTATATCTAAATATCAAATAAAATAAAGGACATGTTACACTAAAATGGTTATGCAGTATTTAGACAAGAAAACTCCTAAATATGGCTTCCTCCAGATTCTTAAAAATGGATACTACAAAATACAAACAGAACATCAATGCTGTATCTTCAATTAAATTACATACTGGCAACATAAATGTTTTTTTTCTCTAACGACACGTTGCCCAAATGATGTCTCAGGACATCATTCATACATGTGTAAATCCAGTCAAGTGCAGTTAATTTTTTAAGTGAGCAAATTCAATTTTGTCCTCCTTGCTGACCTATATCTTTTCATATTCAATTGCAAAGCAACATGGTTATTTAAGGAGTAGATCTCAAATTAAATGTGCTATATCATGACACAATAAGCACATCAGAGATTCAGAAAAAGCCTAAATTTGAGAAAAACATTCCCCAAATAGTATTTTTTTTGGTGGAATTCGGGTTCTACTCAATGAATATGTATGCATGATATATAAAGCATATATATTTTACATCCACAAGAAGTGTAAAGCTAAGCAACAAATTCTTTTCTTTGAGGTGAATACTTCATTGCCTGTGCTAAGAAGCAGCACAGCTACACATTTCATAATGCCCATAATAAAAAGTTACATTTCATAATGTTAATAATACTTCATAATGTGAATGCACCTATTTTCATAATGTTCCTAGTATAGACTAATAAGTGATGATGTGGTAAATTGCTCTCAACAAAGTAACCCTTATGAAAATGTACTTCTTATTATCAACATCAATAAAATCAGAAAACCCCTATTTCACACAGTATCAGATAGAAAATTCAGCCAAATGTGGGAGAAGGATTTTACAGTTACATTTAAAATTCTCAAAATTTTCTTCTTGCTATATATTGCAAGATATTGGTGCACACTGTGTTGTAGCTGATACTGCACTTCAGGGACACCACTTGTATTCAACACCAACCACTGTAAGACAAAGAACATAATATGTTCATGATATTGGAACACAGAACACGGTACAGAGGCTGGTGGATTCCTTAAGTGTCTCCTTAATAATACCTTAGTGAGTTGATTATCTTTATTAATTCCAGCAGAAGCTCTCTTCGTACAGTTTATATAAACACAGTTTCCTCTTTATTCTCTTGAACCCTTTTTTCTGTTGTACACTTGCTGACTTCTTCGTCAAAATCCAGAATTTTTTTTAATGAGGAAAATACGCAGATGCATCAGGAAGAAAAGAAAAACAATGCATCTAGTTTCAGATTTTTTCATTATGAAAGTGCTTTAAAATTGGTTATGGGAGAAGTCTTGATCACTTCTCCCATACAAAAATCAAAAAAAAAAAAGTTGATAAATATTATGTTAAAAAAAGACAGCTCTTGTTTAAAATTCATGACTGCTTCTTTTAACATGAAAAGCAGCATTGGAATAAATTAATGCTTGTGTCCCCATTACAGTTGCAGTTCCTCTTCTGAGAAAAAATGTAATGCCTTTAGTATTAGATAGCATAGGTAGATAGCATAGAATATTGCAACTGAGAAATGTATAAAGATGATACAAGAGAGCCATTTTTAGGTCATTTTACTGTTGAAGAAGAAACTGAGTTTTCATGGAGCTTGCCTTTAAACACAAAATTTTTGCCTAAATCATAGGACTAAGTATTAGCATTTTTACTCAGAGTGGCTTTCCAGGTTTAAAGCAGCAGTTTAAACAGATTCCTGACTTAATCTGTTCAATGTGGCCTATTTAGCTACAGTAAAAGCAGAGAGAACTGCTCTGGGGAAGTCAGTAGCTCAGGCAAGGAGATAAAAAATGTCCCAGTGGAATGGTGCTGCAATGTTATGGGATACTGCTTCATGTATGCTTTTACCGAAACCACTACAGCTAGTGCTACAGAACACCTCAAACCAAGGAACAGCACTCTTGAAATACATGTGCATTTCATTCTTAGCTATACAATTTAATATTTTATGAAGACACTTGTAATTTCAGCTTTTCTCGACTCCCATTCTCAGTTTTACGCATCTGATTTATTTGGTTGGTTAGTCTTTTTTTGCAGAACAAGCTCACCCAAAAATCCTTGCAGATTATGTTTACTCAACAGACTACAATGCAAAGGAACACAGTATATGGATGATTTTAGCATTATCTGATCAAACTCATGGAATGAGATACCAGAATTAAGCAGCTTCACCAATCACGTTAGGCAGCTTTGACAGCAACAATCACCGAGCAGTTTGCTTGATGGTTGTGTCTCTTGAGACTGGCCACAAGTGCCAGCTATGTGCCACCAAGTTACCTGGGCTCAGTGTGTTTCCATGTAATAGGAAACACGTCAGTGTGACAGATTCAACATACAGACACAATCATCACTAACAAAAGGAAATTATCATACCTTTGTTTACTGGAATGATATCAACAATTTCACTTCAGTGTGCAGACTGAAATCCCAAAGATTTTAAGTCCTTTTGCAAAGCAAACTAACTGCAGGTCAGGCGCTGAACAAAGTCATTTTTGGTTCTCTATTTTTAGAAGTATTAAGTGATTTTAACATTTCAGTGGGCAGAGTGCAGCTGCATAGAAGACAACTATATTTTCATTTTCTTTTCCTTGATGCCATCCTTTACCAGCATGAAATCAGCAGGTCCAATGTGGCAATTACAAGACAGTCTTACTAGATTATTCAGTCTTCAATCTGAGAGCTCAGACAATTTTTTATGCCAACTCTATTTATAGGTATATTTCTTTCTTTTGAGAAGAGCAAGGCTTTCCAAATATTGCTTATAATGAATATGACAGATTTATTTCTATAGTGTGATTCAATGGACAGAAAACAAGCTTCTTAGAATTAAATACAATGTTAAGGGCTTTTTAAAGGTGTGTAAATAAACAGACCACATACATACCACATAAAAGAAATTAAGTATTACATTTTTCTTGTCCTTTCATTAATGCACCTAATAATCTTTTGCAGATCTTTTAAAGAACATTTATTAGATACATATCTACCTATCATATAACTGTGTCAATAAAGTTAAAGAAGTGTACAGGCTACAGCAGGTCTAATATACTAGAATTATACTAGAATACTTTGTAGTCTTAAATCACGGAAACTTTATAAGCTTAATATTTTGGTATACAAGAATTTTAATATACTTCTTCATGTAGCTCATATAAACTCTCTTTAACTTAGAAATTTTAACAAGAGATTAAATAAACTACAGGGAAGCAGTAAAATTTGAGAAGTTGCAAGATGCAAGGTAACAATGACAGTTGTAGAAGTACGCATGTGATGTGTATGTCAGCAATTTTAGAGTTAGCTTTCAACTTTAAATATAGCTTCTTTCTATATTTCTTTTGTTTCACACAATTCCTCTGTGCACTGAATTTTATAAAGTGCCAGAAAATATACACATAAAAATATTTATACCCAAATTCTCACAAAGTAAATCACAAGTAAAAGCATTTATCTCAATACAAAATTAATCTGGCATGGAAATTACTCATTACTCAATTCACAGGTACTGTACTATTTCAGTTGCATCTTTCAGACATTTGTCCTTCTAAATAAGGAAAACAAAATTTATGTAATATCCAGGACCCACCAGATGGATTACAGACAAAACAAGACAATTTTGAAGTAAAGCTTGTTGATTCTGCCTTTTATTGCAAGCATTTCACTTAGACTTTTCATAATGCATGCTAAAATGGAGCAAGCATGCAAACTGGGAAGAGAACAAAACGCAGTTGTAAATCTATGTTATAAATTGGTTTACTTCAACATATGTTATCAGCTCATATGTTTAATATGTTTAAAGTTTTCTCACTTTACCATTCAACATTCTGCTGTTGTTAGCTGATCGTCTTGGAAATTGTTATCATGAGACTCCCTAAATTGCTCCAGAGAAATGAGAGCTCTTTACCATCTAAAGTGACAAATCAAAAGTGATCTCAAGATCCATCCCAAGAAAACCTGTGATGGGGAACTCTTTCAGGAGAATTCCCTCATGTGAAATATTGTCAGGTATCTGCTGGTGATTAGGATTTACAAGACATTATTATGTCTGACTAAAGGGATGGGGAGTAACTACAGCTCAGTGTCCCCCATTCTCATTTCGTAGCACTCCCAGGCTCCTTTTCCCTGCCCCTACAGACTCTTGTACCCTTCTTCTGGCTGACAAAAACACCACAAGCAGCACCAGCTAGCTAAAAGTGAGTTTTTCAAGTTACTCTCTCAGCTAGCAAACAAAAAATCAAAGCAGCCTTCAGCATGTGGCATTAATTTGTTCCTGATCATGACGACACACAGGAGAAAAAGTATGTTTGCATATCTAAGGAAGTAGCTGACTGCCAGAATCTGAGGCACACACTCAAAAGCATCCTTCATGCTAAAGAGGTATGCCTTGGTGTCAGCAGATATAAGGGCAGAGGTAGATGCAGTATTAAATCCTCACTGCAAAGATAAGGTCTCTTTTTTGTTTGTTTCCCTGGCATAAACATTTTTACATTTCTAAAATGACAACTGGCAAAGCTTTAAAGAACTGCACCTTGTTGCAGATGAATATTTTAGCACTTTGAGCTGACATATTTTGAGTTTTCAGGAAAATAATCTAATTTTCCAAGTGTCATGGATAAATTTACAACTGCAAATGGATTTTCTTTAGCAGGGTCACTATCTGACAAAATTAGAAGCTACACATCACCCACCAACCTGCCCATGGTTTTGCTCCTCCAGTCAGTGTAATAACATTTTTTCCTGAAAGAACAGCAAAAAATCAGCTGAGATTAATCAAGTAGGACATAGTTGGAAGGGACATACATGTTACAAAAGAATGCTATACATCTTAAAACATGCATTTTCATAAACAAAAACATGAAAAAACTAAAAAGGCAAGTGAAATAGAATAAGTCATTACAATAACATAGTTTCGCATTTTTCAAGTTTGTTCTAAAATAACAGATTTGTAGCTACTGACAAAAACGATAACTGATCAATGAGTCATTTAACAGTTCTTTTCTCCCCACCCTTTGCCAATTAGAAAAACAAGACCTGAAATTCCCAGTAGAGTCTTCTGAGAACAGTTATTTTGAAACCAAAGGGAGACATATTTGCTACATGGTTTATATTTCCCACACCTAGTTTCAGGCTTTTTGTTTGTAATTTCACATCACATTTCAACCACAAAAAGAGGCTTGATATTGCAGATTCCTCAGGAGTTAGGAAGATCTGCAACTGCACACCTGGGCAGCATGTGAGATTCATAAAATTACATTACTTACACTGAAGATCCACTGAAATTAATACCTTAAAAAGAGGGTGAAAGGCTCCTTGCCTGGAAAATATGTGGCCACCTGAAAATTATGTATCTCCCAATCTGCAGACTGTTGGCAGCCTGACACTTGGTACTGCTAGGCAGCATTGTAAATGAAGCAATGAAAGGTATTAAAGGGTTTTCAGAATTATTTTTAACAAAACCCTTATTACCCTTAGCTGTTTTGCCCAGATGGAGTTCAGCTGTTACAAACAACTTATTAACTACAAACAATGATAATTATGAGTTGCAAGATACTTGCAGACAAAATTAAAGCTTTGCCTCAATTCTAGACAGATATAGTTTTATTTCTACTGACAGACCATATACTTAACAAAAATACCCATGAAAGTTAAAAAATCATAATTCAGTCATTACCTAGCTTTGATGCTTACACAAACCCTGTTTGAAACCATGTACATATGCTTCCAAATAAAGCAGCATGGCAAAGTCAGCCATATATACAAGACAGTAATGATTACTACACACTGTCTATTGAAATTTCAGAAAAAATTCATTCTGCAATTGACACAATGAGATTCCATCTATATTACATATTATATATCTGTCAACACATTTTGGTATAATACCGTGCTAAAACAGTTCTGGGGTGTGGGTGAATCTCAAATGTATTTTTACTTTTCAGAAACAGAGAGAAGTAACCTGTGTGATAATAATTCTGCTGATTTTGTTTAGATTCCTGGATTGAGCAAAATGAAACTAAAAAGTTTGAATTTAATTCTTCATGTGTTATTCATATATGATATTGACATATGGCATATTTTAGTGACCATAACTAAAAGTCAATTTTGCAAGACTGTGCAACAGCAAATAGGTATACTGCATTAAAGTATTGCAGGGAACGTTATGTGTCATCTTTAACAGTGTTTTAGTCAGAAAACACTGATGAAACAGATAAATGAGAAATAATTTGCTTTTTAGAATTACAGAACATCTCAAGTAGGAAGGGATGCATAAAGATCAAGTCCAACTCTCTTTTCCCCTTAGGCTTACTTAAATCTACCTAAGGATGACCTAAAACTTCATGGGAGGAAGATGCTCTAGTTCACTGAGTAATCACTAATTGTGGGAGAATTGCAGCATTTGAGGTTCCTTTGTCCATTGAATGGTTACCTCAGAAAAACAATATATACCATCCAGGTAGGAATCATTTCATTTAAAAAAGCAAGTTCAACACTTCAAACACAATTGTTCTTAACAGAATATGTAATTAAATTATAAAATGTATGGTCACAGGATGTTGTTACAGGAATGCAGGTTTATATTTCTGCATCCATGAAAAAGCCATCTGGGCAGATATGAACAAAGACGAAGACTTGAACTGTGTCTCAGCAAGTTTCTAAAGCACAGCCTTCTATAGAGAAGGAAGGTATCATGAAAAACTGCTCATCTCCTGTAGGGGACACTTTGGAAAAGCTGCTGGCAAAGCAGGGCAGACCATTCCTCAATTCTGCTACATCCAGCTTGTGTTTGCAACAGAATTGTGTCAAGTTTTCTGTTTGAAAAGGTAAAGAAATTCAAGAAATATACTAAAATAGTCACACAAGTTCTAGACTGCAATTTCATTTAAATACCTATTAAAATCTTTTTAAAGATAACAAAAATGTTGACCAATTTACTATTTCTCACAGTTCTATTATGGAGGTAGAGGTGGAAAAATATCTTCCCAAATGTATGTATTTCATTGTACAGCAAAACTACCAAAAAGGTGAAATTGGAAAATTTAGTATTTCATCTACTTTTGGTTTACTGAAATTAATTGGATAAAAAGAAGCCAAAGCAACAAAGACCCTTTGGGGGAAACACTAAGAGAATATATTTACATGGCATTAATAAGATAACAAACAAACATGATTTAGAATGTCTTCCAAATAAATCAGGATTGCAAAAGCCAGCCTTTTTTGTCCTGAGAGCACTATAGATCTATGAAGTAACTAAAATTATGAAGAATTCAAACCCATTGCTAAAACACAATTTTGTGAAGTAAAGTATCAAAAGGAGGAAGAAATAATTTTTAATTGCAATTTTGATTATTTATGTCTGTATGCCCATATATAAACACTTCTATACTTAATATACTGGCAAGTATTTTTTGAACTAGATAAACTCAAATAGCACTATAATAATATTTTTAAACATACGGAAGATGACTTTTACTAAAACATTTTTTATGGAAAGGCCTTTGAAGGCTTAATTGGATGATGTGAAAACTCACTACAGAACTGGGTATGTGGAGCAAGATTTGAGCAACGATGATTCACAATCACTGTTTCTGTCTTAGGACCAATGCAGGAGACCACAGTGCCATAGCATAAAAGACTGAGCATTTGGCAAGGGCATTTTCCATGGCTCACACAACTTTGGCACCTGGTTACCACTTGAACTCATGCACACAATATGCTCTTCTCCAAGAGCATTATTAATCAATTTGAAAAGGCACATTTTCTCCTTTAAAGACTTAATTATTGTTGCAGAAAATATTAACCTGTCCCACAAATTAATAACAAATATTAATTTGTTAATATGATAGAACTTCTTTTGCATTCAGACAAGGAAGTCAGTTCAGGCCATTATTCTGCCTAAAGAAAGTTACTGGACCTCAGTTTACTCAAATTGTGACAATATGTGTTATATTGGAGACATGGAAGACACTTTCTGTCATTTCACCTGCCTTTCAATAAGACTCCAGAAAAACCCTAAAATCATGGAGGACACTCAAGCTCAGATGGAGAATATCTGAAACTCTGACAAGAACATCCAAAACGATGTGCAAACTACTGTTTTCTAAAAGACATATGCTCAATCTGATGTAAAAGGCAAGTTTGAAAACAAGTAACACATAGTATTGTGTAAAAATGAGGAAAGAACAGGACTTGTTTCTCCTCTCTCCCTATCCCATCACTAAAATAAATATCAGCACTCCTGGCTACAGAGCAGTAAAGACTGCACTTTTAGACTTGAGTAAGTGACGAACTTTCAATATTAAGCACTAATCATAGGTTTCTTAAAATAGTTTCCACAATACCTGAAAGGCATCCTGATGTTCATTCTTTCTGCATACTTGCACAATGTCTCCCACGGACAGTGAATTTTAACAAACATGATATCACTGTTGGTAACAGCTGGCTGTAAAGAGCAGTAACATGCAAATACGTATTAATAATTTAAACCTACAGCAATCACTCTTCCAGAAGCATTCTTCAGGGTCAAATTCTGATTTTTAGGCCTGAATTGGGCATGCAACTCTGAAAATAAATGCTCTTCTAGACAAAGGAAAATCAGTAACCTTTCTCGCTTACAGACTCTGTAGTATGTGTAGACAAGCGGGACAAAAGGCATCTGTAGGGAAAGATCTGTGGTCATGAACTTAAGTAAAGACTTTATGCAACACCTTTTTACATGGAATAAATTTAACATGGAATTAATTTTAAATCTCAAAAAAATCACCTTAGATAAGTAGATTGAAGACCATTCTGTGTCTCCCATTAAAGGAGAAGTGTGGTCAGTACTAGAGGCATGAGAACAGATGAGACAAGACTCCAGGTTGCGAAAATGCTAACTCAAGGGAATGGTTGAGCAATTGAGTTACCTGCTGGGAATTTTTAAATGTGTATGAACTGGGATGTTCAAATTACAATGTGTACTCTACACAAATGTTTTTAATCATTAATTTATTTATACGTAAAAAAATAGTTTCAGCCTTACAGATTTCTATATTCACCTTCTCTTGTGAACACTTCAGTTTCCCACACTCTTCCCAGATGTATTTGCTTGAGATTCTATAACTAGATATTTTGATAGTTGAATTGTGTCCGATTAAAGCCTCCAAAAGCCTGACTTTGTAAGGTTTGGTAAGTAAAGGTAAAAGAAAATGCAGTTAAACTTAAAATGTTGCCAATTTTACCTACCCGTTCCATAAATCATATCACAGTTCCATAGTACTACCTCAAATATTTTACTTTCTTGAAAGTTGTGGATAAAATACAATGCTTGTGGAAAACAAAATAATTCAGAACTTATAAAACCATTTGTTTCTGAATGTCAGTAATTCTGAAATGACAAAAGCTCTATTTATTTAAACTGGAACAAAATCAGCTATTTTTATTACCATACTGTAACAATTCTTAAAAGTCTTAAAACCAAATTTTAGTCAGGCTAGCTATTTATGAATATTTAACATGCTATATTGTGAGCTATATCGTGCAAGCTCATTGCTTAAACCCAGAACACGTATTACAATTCTACTGAGATGAAAAATCAAGACAAAAGACACATGAACAATAGGAGCTTACATCAGAATAGAGTAAATATATACCTGTTCTTCAGGTCATTCATGAGAGAGCAAAAATCCAAGGCAATGTTTCCCTGGCTCCATTTTTTTCATTTTTTATTAATACTACTATTACTAGCCACAGATTAACCAGAATAGTGACAACCTTAACCCCTTGAGAAACAGTGAGACATTTAACATCAGGCATTCTGCTGACAGACACAGAGGATATGTATTAAAGCAACAACATGGGTTACTGAAGCTGCTTCTGTTCTGCAAGCATGAGAAGCTGGAACTTGTCCCCCTGTACTGCATGACACTTCTGTGTACAAGCATGTATCTCCAAATCCTTTTAAAATACACACTATCAAACTATTCTTCTTATTAGTTTAATACAGTTAAGCAGATGATGACAACTGCCTGGAAAGGCTTGTAATTTTGTCTGGAATCTTTTATCAGTTCAGTAAAGTAGGATGGTATAATAAAAGGCATTTTTTATGCCACATAAGCTACAGGACTCACCTCCCGTTCTAACATAAGCCCTTCTGCTCTCAAATTCTTCTCAAATGTGCTTCTTTTCTCTACCTGTGGGCTTGATTTCTTGTAGACCAAGATGTAATCAATGCGCTTTTTGCCATCTTTGAAGAAGAGTCCTGATAATGCCATGGCATCACTCTAGAAAACATAAAAGAAACATACTCTAAATATGGCATCTATAAAGATGAAGAGCTCCATTGTGAATTGTATATAACATAGCACTTCCTAAACCATGGAAACAGCCACATATCTAGAGGATGATGAATATGCAAGAAGTTCAGAAGAACAAAAAAGTGATATGCATCAGTTCCTCAGGATTTCAAATTAATTAGAACAAAACAAAATAAAATAGCTTTGCAGAGCCCATATTCCAGTTATTTCAGTTGAGCAAAAACCTTAAAATTCTTGAGTGGTGTGTATTGATATGAACTTTTGTTTATCCCTACTTTCAATTGGAAATTAAAAAGAAAAAATAAAGAAGTCAATTAAAGCAATTTTCTCAGCTTTGTACCTGTGCAAATTTTATAAAACAAACATACCTATATTTTCTCCAAGGCAGAAATAAATCTAAAAAATTAAAAAAGAATGCTATTGATCGGAATGTTTGCACGGACAGTCTAGTTGAAGTGCTTTTTCAATGCCATGTTAGCCATGTTTCAATCTTGACTAGTTCCTTCCCACCATGCTTGCAAACATAAGGAATTAGCTGACCTTGATATGAAAAACCCTGCTTTACATGCTGCTGATGCTGTGGAGCTATTTTTGCATTCTGTGATTTGCATGCTTCAGAACAGAGACCAAACCAACTGGTGACAGACTACAGAATGATAGAATTATTAGGTTAGGATGGACCTCCAAGATCATTGAGTCAAACCAAACACCACCTTGTGACGACTAAATCACAGAACTAGGTGCCTCATCCAGTCATGTCTTGAACACCTCCACAGATGGTGACCCTGCCACCCCCAGGGCAGCCTCTTCCAATGCTTAACCATCCTTGCAGTGAAAAAATTGCTCTTGATGTCCAATCTGAGTGTCTCCTCGTACAATTTAAGGCCATTTCCTCTTGTCCTGTTGACTGGTAGAAGAGGCTGATCTCCATCTTGCTACAATCTCATTTCAGGTAGCTTTAGAGAGGATGACTCCTCCGAAGCTCCTCTTATGACTGAACAACTCCTGTATCCCCACCTTATGAGGCGTGTCACTCCTCTTACAAGGAGTGCCTCGTAAGCCTTAGTCTCTCTGGACCCCTCACCAGCTCCACTGCCTATCTCTGGACAGTGGAATTAATTAATTAATTAACTCCAGCACCTCAATGTCTCTCTTGCAATGAGGGGCCCAGAACTGGATGCAATACTCAAATGTGTGCCCTCACCCGTGCAGAGAGCAGAGGGACAAGTACAGCCCTGCTCTATTTCTGATACAGGCCAGGTGCCATTGGCCTTCTTGGCCAACTGGGCACACATATTCAGTCATCTGCTGAGCAGCACCCCCAGGTCCTGAAAACTTTAAAATCTGAAAAGATAAACTGAGAAACATCATCATCCTCTGGAGAATGCAGCACTTATTTAGACATGAACCATCCAGAAGAATGATGGTTTCAAGAAGTATGCATTACACCCATCATAAACAGGTCCAAATGTTTATGAATGCTGCATCAACAGCAGCATTCATAAACAATGGGATGATGCTGGTCCTAGGAATTAATTCTATTTGGATTATTTGGATATGAAATTTACAATAGTCAGTTATACCCAACAGGGACATTCTCTATTCAAAACTAGAACCACGTATCAGTGCATGATATCAGCATTATATATATTGGATACCAGCTCACTTGTTTCTATGTGAAATGTTTTTCTTACGCCCACATCTCTCACTGCCAGCTTTCTACACATTTAGTGCTTCTGAGAACTCCTCAGTCTGAAAAACCTAAAGCATTCTAACAAGATTTTTTCTCTGTCTTTGCTTTTTTAAATCCCAAAATAAAAAACAACAACAGTCTGTCACACACAATCTACCACTACAAAGGAGTGCATCAGAGAACATTATTTAAGTACATTAAGCTTCAATTTAAACTCTAAGATCATTGAGCTAAGATCATTAACCATTAACCCAACACTACACCATGTCCCCAAGGGTCACATCACACACCTTTTAAGTACCTCCAGGGATGGTGATTCCCCTTCCCTATGCAGCCTTGTTCCAATGCTTTACCACCCTTCCAGTGAAGAAATTTGCCCTAACAGCAGATCTAAACACATCCTGATTTAACTTGAGGATGTTTTATCTTGTCCTGTCACTTGTTATTGAAAGAGACTGAGTCCCACATGGCTAAACCTCCTTTCAGGTACTTGTAGAGAGCAGAAACACCCAGCATGAGCTTCCTTTTCTCCAGACTAATATTTCCAGCTGCCTCAACCACTCCATGTAAGACTAGCACCCAGGATCCCTCTTGGAACACACTCCAGCACCTCAATATCTTTCTTCATATTCAGATAAATAATATCTGAAGTCCAAATTAAGGTAGTAAAGAGTATCAACCAAGACTGTTAGTGTTAGTGAATATAGGGTCTGTCACCCCTTCTAAGAATTCTGAATGGGAATGGTAGTAAAACCATTATTTTTTATAATGTTACAGATTTAATTATCTAAATCTATAAGACCCAGAGGTTTGAGGTAGTAGACTGAAGGTTCAAAAGTGCAAGTTTGAATACGCAAGTTTTTAAATCACAAACTTTTTCAGGTTCAAGACATGAACAATTACTCTCCTCTTGAACACTGAAGGATTCCTGCATAAGTATTTTACAAAACCAGACCAGGGCTGCTTTTACAGTTCATGAAGCAGGCACAATAAGATACAAAAAGCCTGGCCAAAACTCCCCCACAAAGGGGACATCTGGAACTTCTCCAAAACACTTTCTGCTCATGCAATTTCTGTACAGACATGATGCAAATTACACCCACCTTTTGTAATACATTTCTACTGCCTTTCTTTGGGTTATTATTTCTAGTCTTTCTTTCCTCATTTCCAAAACATCTGATTTTCTTCAGTCTTAGAAAAACATGCTTTGTTTCTCAGATAAATGGCAGTATCCAAATATGACCTCATATTCATTAACATCAAACAGAATTATTTGGGGTCAATGTTAAAGACATAATGAGCAGTGAAGACAGTAGAAAGAAAACTTCTATCCCAGTTTAAACCAGACCACTTTCAGAGAACACCCCCCACAGCGGGTTTAGAAGTGCCATAGTGAAGCCACTTACCACATTCATGCAGTGAACCTGGCCTACATAACACTGATTTCATGACTGATTCACTTTAATGCTACTGGCACCATTAGTTTCACTTTTGTCCTATTAAAAAAAACCAAATGCTGACCACCTATATTAGCAGTAATATAAAAATTACTTAAGTAATTAAGTACTAGTAAAAGAATTTATATGGTTGATTTGTATGGATGATTTAGTTGGGTCTTTTCAGTTGATCTGAAGGAGCTCCATAACAAAAAAGGGCAACAGGCAGCAGTAATTTCAATTAAACATCTAAGTCAGGGTATATTATCTATACCTAGCACAAGCAATCAGCTGTTAGTGCAGTGGACATTCAAGCACAGATCATTTATTATTTATCTGCTGGTTTAGACGAATACATTAATTCATTCTTTTGCCTTTTTAAAGAGAGAAAAGGATCAGAAAAGGAGAAAAACATCAGAAGAAATATTTTGTGCAAAGACCTTACTCTCTAAGACTTCCTATTTCACCTGAAAAATGAGTATAAAAGGACTAATCAAAATTCCCTCATCCTCTCCATCGCCTTACTCCTCCAGATTTTCTGAAACAGTATCCATCTGTTAAACTTTCTTACATTTACACACATATGAAAACTCATTTGTTTGGAAAAACTCCTTTTAGAGTATTGCAATATAGTTCAGATAGTAAACTCAACAATTTAACCTACCCTTGTTCTTTCAATGTCTTTAAATAGAAGAACTCCAACTATGAGGCTGTGAGGCACCACTTGACTCAAGCTTGTCCATTATGCAGAATCATAATACACTGGCTTGCGTCAGAGGCTTTGATACCATAGATGCTGCAGTTTCTTGGTTTTATTATGTATCAAGATTTTTGATTGCTTCATAGTTTGTGGTTAGTATAAAAAATCACATGACAAGCTGCTTTGAAGTCTGAAAGTGTAAAATTCAAAATATTGCCACTATCATTCAACTGAAGTTTACACAAGGCAAAACACACCGATCAATTTAGCCTAGAAAAAGGAGTTTTGGCTCAATCAAAAAGAAAAAAAAAAGGTGGAAGCACAATGCAAATATTTAGCAAAGCTATAAAATAAAAAGTTTGTATTTTCATTCAAACGTATAAAAAGAACTTCCTTGGAGTGATTTCTCAATAAACTATTTTTCAGATTCTAATTAATTAAAAATGCTCTTTTTACAAAGTGGGAACATCAGCTTTACTGGATCTTTCTCTCCCCAGTTAATTTAAGTAGCACAATTCACAGTAATTGTAACTATTTCAACTTCATTTGTCTCACTGCTGCTCTAATCTGTAAATTAAACTTTTATCATTTTTTCACCCCAAACACAGAAACAAATATTTCTAAAGAGGGAGTTGAAACCATTCTCAAAACAGGAGCAAATTTTAGAGTCATACAATCACTGTATCCTAATTTAGTGGTATATTTTATTTGTTTTCCACCTTATACTGGTAAAAAGTTTAAGATAGTGAATAATATACTCAGGTGAATTTAGATGTTAATGAGAACCACACATAGGTGCAACATACATGTTGTAGCCATTTGTTTAATCTTCAGTCCACCACTGACAACTCTCCCCAAAAATAACATAACAGCAAGGCTTAAGGCCTGACAAAATAGGTGTTTACATTTTAATGGATTTTAAGAAAATTCCCATTCACTTGTTCAAGTATTTGCAGCTTGAACTGTGCAACAGCAAAATACAAGTACATTCAAACCACTATGAAAGGCTCTAATTTGTTTATACATTAAAGGTACTAGGATAGAGCATGTAACTAAGAAATGTAATTAATTACTTCCCACTACCACCTGCTCAGAGTTCAGCCAGTGTCAGCTCTGATTTCTATGTATTCAGTAACTT